AGCGTGGATCGGAAAAGCAAGGCAGGCTTTCATTACTCTCAAGTCTGTGTGGAGGTCACCAGCGCTCAGCATGAAAAATAAGATCCGGATTTCCAACTCCAATGGGAAGTCAAAGCTACTTACTATGCGGATCAGAGACTTGCACTGCGCGTCATAAAGAGCATCTCAAACAAACTTATGGGCTTCATTAACAGTTGTCTTTGCTCAATACTCAAGATCAAATGGTCGGTCAGAAAAGATCAGCAACAGGGATCTCTGGCAATGAGCGAACCAACCAGTAACCGATTGTGAAACAAAGAGGCAGGAATAAATGGAGATGGTCTGGCCATACGCTGAGAAAACAAACCAACAAGTGACATCACTAGACAAGCCATCGTTCGAGTGTAACCTGAAAGGGAAGCGGCGAGTTAGTCGTCCAAGGGTGACTTGGAGGAGGTCATGTGAAGAGGAGATGAAAGCATGTGGGCAGACTTGGAGCGGGGTGAAAAAGTTGGCAGGAAACCGAAGGCAATGGAGACGTGCAGCTGAAGCCTTATGTTCCTCTAGGAATTCAAGGATATAATTATAATAATAAACCTTGTCATATTTTACATCGCGTTGCGCACTGTTTTGATCGTCGATTAACCCTATAATCTCACACTACCTTCCGATATCTATTATTATTCCCTTAGTTTCCGAGTGGAACAGACGGGACTTCAGCAACACATCTCTACCTTGTTATATTTCCAGCTGTCCTCTTCAGGTTACCCCAAAATGGTCCATACCCCCTCATCTCCTCCTCCTCAAACGGTCTGCTCCATGTCACCGACACACTGAAGACCCACTCATCGCTTCCCATTCGGGTTCCACTCGACCACTGGTCCAGCGCGTGATGTCATTCAGAGGTATTCTAGACGTATGCGCAGTCCACCCATCTTGAATTTCTCTTACATATTTGTTGCGCACTCGGCCCTTGGTTGGCTCGTAGCCAGCCGGACATTCTTGTTGCTAATTCTTTCTGGCCAACTGGCCATTTGATCTTCAGTATGCAGCCAACCAGTGAAGGTGGTAGCAACCTGTTGGAAATCCTTTTCATGACATGCAGTGCAAGTTTCTGACCTGTATAGAAACACCCACTTGACATTGGTGTTGAAAATGTGAATCTTGTCCCTTATGCTGAGGTGGAATGAGGAAGATTTCTAGACTAGCTTCAGGTTGATGAAGGTGTATCTTACCTTTCTGATTCTGGCGAACTTTGAAATCTTCATCCATTCTGAACGCCTGTGGTTGGAACAGTGCTTCCTGTGTGGATAAGTGAAGGAGACAACTTCTGTTATATTTCTACCGTTGATGGTGTATGGTGCTGGTTGTTGCTGTTGTTGATGCGATTGTTGGTTACCTTCATCACGCCTATCTTCTCCATTTTCACCTTTAGACCCCTCCTCGCTGCCAGCCAGCTTCTTTAGGCAGTTTTTTTTTTGGTTTTCGCCTGCAATTATCCAAATTTGTTTTAATAATACAAATGGTAATTTAATCAGTTAAGAATTAGTATGGTAAGTTATGGATAATAATAATAAATTGTTTTTGTGCAGACATGGGTGGGGGCTTAGGTTTTGCGAATAGATATCGACTCTGTGTATTTCATCAAGCTCCCCTGATGGCTTATATAAATAATCTCGAAACCTGCTTTAATATCAGTCTTGTGGTTCAAAGCAGTTAATTGTTCAGCTATACATGAACTTGTTAGTCTGTAACTTGTGTGTGTGTGTGTTGAAGTTTCACAGTTCATTCATTTGTCTAACCATTTGAATATAAAATCTCCTACCCTCACATGCAAAGCACCATTTTCTTTTCGACGAAGTCATTAACTAGGCTGCACATTCGTGTATTTGTGATAAAGTTCCAGGATAATTTCCTATCAAGAATCAAATTAATAAAGTTACAATTTGGAATTAATAGGCTCTTGAAGCTGAGTCCAACGGAATGTTCCACCTCCTCGACGTCCATCTGACAAGAAACGCCAACAGATCTCTGAAAAGGTCCATATACAAAAAGCCTACATGAAATGGACAATTCATCAACTTTCAAAACTTTGTGCCCCTAAGCAGAAGGAAGAACCTAAAAGGTGCTCTTTCCTCGAGGATTCGTAAGATATGCAGTGAAGAAGTGACTGATGAAGAACTGAGTAACCTCTGAGGAACCCTGGTGGAAAACGGTTTTCTGCGTAGGTTCATAGACAAGAATCTCAAATCAAAGAAAACCTCCGAACAATTCCAATCCGTCCGAAGAAGATACTTCTGATTAATCTAGAATTCAAAAGTGACATTGAAGCAGAAATCCTTCGTAAACGCCTCTCCAAATCTCTGAGGGAAACATACTTCACCACGACCCACGACTGACGTTTTCCTGCAAGAAACTGCTCAGCCAGAACGTGAAAGACAAGCTGTCGCATTGGGCCACTTCAAATACATCAGTTTACTTGCTCTTGCGGATCACACCTTCATGTCTGTTCAAACTGTTAGCATCTAGAATTTTATGATTAGAGGTATTTTCAAAATGATGGTGTTTACGATTAGAGTTTATTTGAAGCGCCTTGTCGAACTTATTGCTTTGTCTTATTTCTGAAGATTGAGCTGCTTTATTCGACCTACTGGAGTTGTCAGGTGACTTGACGGCTACGGAATTAGGATATACATTCTGTTGCAGACAAAGGAGTTCGAAAACACGATGACTGTACCAATTACAGAGTTTCTTTGTTAATTTAATTCGATTGCAAAATAATTCATATGAACTGTGATCAAGATTTGACCGAATAATTCCCAAATAATTGAGCGCCGAATGAAAAGTAGAAATTTGTAAAAATAATATTTGTAAAATCTCAGTGAAATTGAAATAATTAATTGGAACGTTTCGTTCAGCAAACTGATCCGAACCTCTTCATGGAAATTAATCAAAATTGTATGAATGTATGCAAATGAATTTTGCTGTAATAGCCGTCAATTTGTCTAGGGTCAGTCATTCTAGCTCTAACTAGATGTCCATATTCTGATAACCAAATCGACAGTGATCTACTAGACTGACATATTCAATTGACCCCACAGTCATTGTATGGTATTTGGTAAACTATATGATTTTTTGGTTACAGGGTTTTATCATGAGCTGACATCGGTTAGAGAACCATTGGAAAATCACATGGGAGTACTACCAGAAAGCTGTTTCGCCCTAGTTTGGAACTCTTCATCAGTACGCACTCACCGGGGTTTGAAGTGTACTGCTGAAGAGTCCCAAACTAGGACGAAGCGGTTGTCTGGTGGTACTCTCATGTGTTTTTCCAATGGTTCTCTAACCGATGTCAGCTCATGATGAAATCCTGTAACGAATCACTCAAATCTCTATAAACCAATACTTGTATACGATTTTTCTTAATTGGATTTCTTAGGTCCTTAAGCCAACAACTTATGTTTCTGAGTGAGTTTTTCGGTTTGTAACAACAGAAGACAAGGGCCAGGCAACAGATCGTTTATTAAGGAAATCAACACATATTTATAGATTTTCATGTACATATTAAAGATTATTGTTAGCAGAAGAACACAGTCTTCTGATTGGTTGTTTCTCACAGAAAGTTAACCTTGCATCTCTTTGTGGCTGTTTCTTGAATATCAGATCATCTATATGTTAACTGTATCTGCCTACGCAAAGCCTTTGTTCTCATTTTTCTCACGACTAATATTGGGGACATAAACATTGACGTAAGTTACTGTCCACCAATTTTGACTAACAGCCAGCTCTCACCACAGGTGGGTTTTTAATGCTGACTTCATTCTAGATTTATTCAGAATCCTACACCAGGCTTATCATGTTTCTTTGTTATATAGCATCACTACCGAGCCTTTAGATTCCGTATTATTATTATTGTTGTTTCCTTTAATTCCTAGAGGGACATAAGGATTCACTCACACGTCTCTATTACTCTCGGTTCTCCGACAGCGTTTTCACCCATCTTCACGTCTGCCCACATGCTTTCATCTCCTCTTCACATGACCTCCTTTATGTCACCCTCCCACTGACTACCAACCAACCCGCCAATTCCTGTTCCGGTTCCACTCGACCGATGTTCTGGCGTGTGATGTCACTTGATGTTTTGTTTTCTCAGAATGGCTAATCCACATCCATTTGTTGTACAACTGGTCCCTGCTGGGTTTGTTAGTTCGCCCACTACCAGAGATCCATCCCTGTTGCTGATCTTTCCTGACCATCTGATCTTGAGTAGTGTAACGACAGAAGATAAGGGCCAGCCAAACAGATCGTTTATTGAGGAAATCAACAGATATTTATCGATTTTTATGTACATGATTATTAGGGTTATTGTTAGCAGAGAAACATCGTCTTCTGATTGATTGTTTTCTTGCTGAAGGTTATTCTGTCATCTCTTTGTTGCCGCTTCTTAGACAGTCCGGTCGTGTATCTTCGAATCGTATCCGCCCACGTTAAGTCTGCTGTGATTGGTTGTTGAGTAAGTCTTTGTTCTTCTTCTTTGGAACATAAACATTGACGTAAATGGCTGTCTACCAATTTTGGCTAGCAGACAGCTCTCATCACAGTAGTACTGAGCGAAGACGGCTGTTGATGAGGGTCTGTAGTTTGTTCGAAGTGCTCTTCGTGACGCGGCACCAAGTCTCTGATCCGTATAGTAGCACTGATTTCCCATTAGAGTCGAAAAGCTGGACCTTATTTTTCATACTGAGTGCTGTTGATCTCCACACAGACTTAAATTCCTTATCACTTTATGTACTAATAGTCTCATGTACCACTATATGCTCATCACAACAAGTTGTAAACCGTGCTCTAATCTGTTACCTGTTAATTCTTTTTATTTCTAATCACAGATTTGGAAAATTCAACTTGGAGAAGAGGAATCCAGCCAAAACAACACTAAACGAATCGGCCTGCTAAGACAACATGCAGGTGCTGTGTGGTCAATCAATTGGCATTGGTGTGGCAATTATTTAGCCAGTTGTGGTATGGATAATACAATACGTCTGTGGAATGTTGAATATGCTACACTGGCGTATGCAACAATGAATAAAGGTTTGATGAATTCATATTCTTGTGGATCATGTTGTACAATCTTAAGAGGACATAGTAAATCTGTGAATTCAGTACAATTTGTACCATATGGAAATATATTGGTCACAGGTTCATCTGATAGAACAGTCTCCTTATGGGATGGCCGTACGGTAAGCACAACTGATTGAATTTATTCTTCTTCTTCTTATTATTATTATCGAAACTTATATAGGGTGCGTGCTGATGAAGAGTCCAAAACTAGGCTGACAAAACAGCTGTCCAGTACTCACAGCCGGTTTTCCAGTGGTTCTCTCTCTTCAAAGGGGAATTAATACTCGTTTCCCTTCTGAATATCGAATTCGAGTCGGATTTTATCACCTATAGAGTCAGTGGAAAACAAGGGGAAGTGAACAGACGTTTCGTCCCATTTAGAGAGTCTTCAAAAATGTAAACTTATGATTTCTACGGAGATCCAACTCAGTACCGTCAGATTACAAATCGAACATACTGTACTAACTGTTGAATTCTAAGTTACTTCTAGGCAAAGCAGCAATCCATTTCCAATGGATACTATTTAATCTCACAGACGACATAGTGAACGTCGTGTCACATCTTCTTGTTAGCACTCTAGAAATTTCATACAATAGTTAATCCTTAATAAGCAGGAATAAAAAGGTTTCGATTTCTCCCTAGCAAGGATCTTGCATTTGAATAGTTCCTACTGTGGTGAGAGCTGTGTGCTAGCCAAATGGTAGACAGCAATTTTCGTCAGTGTTTACGTCCCATATCTTGGTCATGAGAAAAACAAGAACAAAGACCAGCTCAACAACCAATCACAGTAGACTTAGCGTGGACGGATACATTTCGAAAAGGTATATGGTCTAACCTTCAGATAAATGGCCACAGAGATGACAGAAGAACTTTCAGAGAGAAAATAACCAATCAAAAGACGCTGTTTCACTGCTAATAATAAGGCTAATAATAATGTACCTAAAATCTATGAATATCTGTTGATTTCTTCAATAACCGACCTGTTTGGCTGGCTTTTGTCTTCTGTCGTTACAGTACTACGAACTAGGTCTTCGAATTCTCTCAAAGAAGAGAAAGATAGATTTGAAGATTTCTATCAACCATTTGAAATGACTCAGTTTCCTTTGTATTACTAAACATTCTTGTTACATCCCAGTGTAAATTTATTGATTAGCTGCAAAGTATCCTAAGTTAAATTGTCACAATGCACCTGGACGTCGAGCCACCTAACATGATGTCCATATTGCAAGCCTGAGTGGTAGAATTCAGTCTGCACCAAGCAAAGGCCTAGACAGATGACACTATTTATTTTCCAATCAAAGCATCTAATACAGTTTTACAGGAGTTCAATCGAGAGCCTGAATAGCTGCCTCAGCGGCAACGTCTCTAACTTCAGCGCTGAATGATATATGTTCGAATTTCAGAAGGGACATTAGTTACTTCCAGGTTGCAGATACTCCATGCTGACTGATGAATGCTATCAAGCATGAAACATAAGTCGAGCAAGGCTTCCTGTCGATTACCTCCAACCATCTAATAACATCAGCGTCATTATGTTACTTTCACTCATATATGTAAAAGGTAAGTTTAACGCTTACACTCAGACAATTCGCCGTGAAACGTAGCTGTTATCAGGAACTGAAGTCAGCCACAGAACAACCAGCTACTGACCAGAACTAAAGACTTCTTACTTCATAGATTTCATCGCAATGCTCAAATGCGAATATATGAACTAAAAACACCCAAATTCTGTTTTAGTCCATCATCACTCCTATTCACCAGACAATTTGGATTCCATTTGATATGAATTACTTCTGATGAAATGGGACGTTCTTTGTGACTTCTGAAATGCTTTTCCTAGATTATTTCACTATTGTCAAAATCAATTTTGCCGCCTGATTCTATAGCGTGTAGACCGCCTATGGCTGATAATTTTTCAAGCTTTTACAGTTCATCAACTGGATATCTCACTGGTCAAACAGATGCCCTATGGTGTTCATTTCTTCCGATTTTGATTTCTCTCTGATGACCTTTGGCATTTGTATATCACATCACATTACAAGCAACTTATTTTAAAGACACAACTGGATAGAGAATCCTCAAGGGTTTGGTCATTTATAGGGACAAGGTTGCTTTGTTGTGTGTTTAGTGTTTTGAAGAAAACTCTGATCTTGTGCTTATTGAGTATTCTTCTGATGTCGTCTGGCGTCTCTGCTGTATATGGATTGACAACTGCTGAGGTCCATGTTTTAGGAATACGTTTTCGACCATACTTAATGTCAGTGTTGATTTTGTTGACGAAGTTCCTTGGAAAGTTGTTTTGCTTGAGAGCTCAGTAGTGTTTCTTCTTCTTGTTCCTTCTCATCAGTTAACATCGGAGAGTGTGCTCATCTAAGAAGACTTGAAACAAATAACACCTTTGCGCTGATGAGATGTGATGATCCGAAGTCTAAATATTTGTTGGAGCATGTTTTCTTCATGAATATGGATATGTTGAAATATCCGTTTTCCCTCCTCTTAACTAGGCAGTCTAGAAATGGTAGTTCACTGACGTCTGATTCTGCTTCCAAGATTAATTGGATTCTGGAAGATAGAGTATTCAGTTTCTCCAAGAATTAACTGTGTAGATCTGGTCTTAGAACTACTACAGGATCATCTACATATTTTCACCATATTATAGGAGTGAGTATACTTGAAAAGATGTTATCTTCGAATCTATTCATAAAAAGGTTAGCGACTATTGAGGAAACTGGTGAACTCATAGCAACACCATTTGTCTGTCTATATAAACTCCCTTTAAATGTAAAATAATTAGTTTCCAGACAAAATTTTAGGCTCATAATTATTTCACTGGTGTCCAGTGGACGTTACTGTGATAGAGCTTTATCTGATTCTAGTAGACTGGAAATGATATCAAGACTTTCGGTAATGGGAATACTGGCATATAATGACTTAATATCATAGTTTACCATAATATCTTTTATCTATTGGGCATTTGAAATAATACGAATCTTTCATAACATTTTGAGTGTCCTTTAGCAGTGGTTTCAGCATCGAAAATAAGTACTTGGAGAGGTTAAATGTCGGTGAGTTGGTAAAATCCACTACTGTTCTTAATGGAACTTTGGGTTTATGTACCTTTGACTGACGGTAGAATCTTGAAAGTACATAGGATTTTGGTTTTAGTTTAAACCAAAGGGAATTTGCAAATTTGGGTTTCATTTCTTGAAGGAGTCTGTTTTCATTTAGTTTTACTTTGTTGAATTACGCAGATTTCTTCTTTTCTTCAATGAGTAAGTATGGTCCTTCAGATAGGTGTTCAATCGCCTTCTTTTCATAGTCAATCCTGTTCATTACCACAGTGGAGTCGGCCTTTGTTATAACGATGCTTTTGTCTTTTTATCAGAAATCTTAGGTCCTCATATTCTTATTTGTTGAGATTAGATGGTATGTTTCGTTGTGCCATTAGTATGCGTGATATCTTTTCACGTACAGATTGGGATTCTTCATTGGTGATCAGTTGTAGAGCAGGTTCCACCACAGTTAATACTTCCTGAATCGATAATGGCTTTCTAGTAATATTGAAATTCAAACCTTTCTGTAGTGGATGGTAGATGGTGATTTCCGGTAGTGAAGTAATTTTCGGAGTTGTCCTTATATGAAAACGCCAAATTTCTACAATAGCGTCCCAAGGGATGCGAACGCACGAGTGACCGTGAGCCGACCAATCAGAAAAATGAGGGATTTTTGAACATAACATTACGTATATTTACATAAAAATGTATGAAAAAAAACATTAAACACGGGATTTTTCTCGAATATGAGATAAAAATATGTCCCAGTTATAATGGGGAGTGTCAGCTTTTAAATTAAACCAATATCTATACATGTATTCATCCAGATGACTGAAAATAACTTGGTTTTGAGAGCTATTTATTGCTCTTATCCTATTTTATACTCTTCCCCAGAAACCCTCTATTGAATTAGTACGAGTGCATGTTGTGGAATCGACAAAATCATCAGAATGGCTATCTCGATTGTGTATATATCCTAAATCCGATAAGTGGTTATGTCCTGCTCATTCATCCCTGAGTACAGTAGTTCCAGGCTAAACGAGTTTCTGAATAATAGGCAGAAGAGTGTCGGTACTCCTGTCTGGAATAAGTTCAATCAATTCCTTCTGAATTTGGGTGTCATAAATTCCCAGTAGCCAAACGTTGTTAGCTCTAGCATGTCTGCGATTGTGTTTCTCCTTTATAAGCACTGTTTCATCGATGTAAAAATGATAACACCGACTCCTCCCAATACTTGTGTAATATTGTTCATTTTCCATGAGGCTAAATCTCGACAAAACTGAAACCCCTGCACAATTGACGTCAACATATTTTCCTTCTGAGTAGCTTTTGACCTCACTTTGAACTTCAAAATCCAGAAATGGCAAAGAAACAGCATATTCATGAAAGAAAGTTTCGATTTTGCAAAGAAAGTTCCTAGAAGACAATTAATTGAGAGTTTCACTTACCAGTACGAACACTCGTTCGTTTCCTACACTCCGTACATCTAAATTCATCAATGACTTGTAAATACGGCTGAAGGCTCGTTGAAGCACCACAAGTACATATACGACTACATCCTATCAATCCATTTTCTAGACAGTATTTAAAACCGTGATCTGGTTGAAATTTGCACCTGAGCTCATGAACAGTGTTCATTGTTACGCTAGAATAATCGTAGCTTTCTTTAGCTAACGACTAGAAGGCGTTCAAGGCGATTTGAGGGTTCGCACTCCTAGGACGCTATTGTTGTACTTCTCCATGAAAACCTCCCTTCCAACTACAAATCGCCACAAGGTAAGTGGCAACGTACACTCCTTGAGGTTGAACTTTTTAAAGCTCCCGCTTCTCAGAGTAGATGGGCGGTATATTTGGTTATTATTTCAAATTCATTGAATGTACTAACATTGATCAAAACTTCCTCTCTCTCTGTGTGTGTGTGGTTTGTTTTAATTTCATTATACTAAAGGGTCTATGTGAACATACATTTCTTGGACATACCCATTCAATCAATCATGCTATATTCAATCAACAAGGTACTTATGTTATATCATGTGATACTGGTGGCTTTATACGACTTTGGGATTTAAGAAAGTTGAATAATTTCACCTTCGGTATAAATTTACCTTCAGTAACAAAAGGCACACAACTATCTACCACCGCTAATACTACTACTAATAATAATACCCATAATAGTAATAATAGTATCAATGAGGACGAGACGAAAACATTGCCAACTTTATTCGATTTGAATAAATGCAGTAGAAAGCCAGATCAATCACGTCGTCATCGTCATAACCGTACACAAATTCCAGGGAAACAACAACATTCTGAACATCAACCGCATAGTGATCAACAATATCAGCACCGGCAACAGTCGAATAAAGTTGGAGTGAATCAGTTGGTTGTTGACTTGAGTGGTGAATATATTTTGGCAGCCTGCGATGATTCAAAGATTTATTGTATAGAAATATCGACTAGTCAGGTGAGTTTTACCATTTTTCCCCACTTAGGTGGATGTTTTTGACGTTGTGGTTGTTGTTGTTGTTGCTATTTTTGCCTCAGCCTCTCAGTAAGACGATTTAACTGCGAAACTTTCGTTGTCTGCCTAGACAGCACCATCAGTGCTGACTTAATTTTGTCTAGGAAGAACAATGAATGCATTCCAGTTAAAATATTTAGCTTAGAGGGTAGTCAGTGTGTTAGCAAAAATGTAATCTTTTCAAAAGAATGGTTACTGAACATAGAATATTGACATTTTCGATAACCTGGTCTTCATCAGGTTCTACACTTATACATACATAGGAGTGAATGGATTTTTATCGTTAACAACATCAAATCAATAATAATGTCAATGGATTACAGTTCGACAGCATCAACATAAAAATACATTCAATATCAGAAAAATTAGGCAAAGTATTAGTACAGAGTTCAAAATAGAAAAAAACTCCATTTAGACATTTAGAAAACGGAAACAGTGAGCGAAGAAATATCTTCTTTTCAATTAGATCCTCATCTCTGGCTCTACTCTAATATACACGTATAGCATTTTAATACAATACACAACAATTTACCAATCAAGTGGCACTGATATGTTTGTTAACGATAATTAGTCAGTGTCAAAATGTCAAACGGGGGTGATAATTAACAAAGAAAATCAATACACATTTAAGAGGTAGAAATGGTTAGAATAAATTAATTTTACAAGGATAACACGTAAATTAAAGATGAAGTGGTCAAAATAAATAAAAAAATAAAATAAGATAATTTGGACAATCATAATTTTTATAATTTTAAAGGTTTAGGGGGAGGGGGCGAAGTAGTCCTGTTGATACATACATGTAACGATGGCCAGGGTAAGGAAAGTGGCTGTACAAATTTCTTCTAAACGGGCACAGGTTTGGCTTCTTAAGGTGGATTCCTATTGCTTCAGCTGTATGTAGAAGACGAACTCGTAAAGCAAAATTAAGATTAGTAGGAATGCGATAAATAATTTTAAATGTTGTATTAACGTCAACCTTATACTCACTATCTACAAGGTGTGCTGAAATAGAGCTATGAATATATCTTGTTTGTCCCTTACTTAAGCATGTTGGATGATGTTCGGAAATACGATGATGAACCTGCCTAATTGTACGCCGAATGTAGCTGGCTACGGAGCTGCAGTCAAACTGGTAGATACACCCATAGGAGGCAAATTCAGGTAGTTTGTCCTTATTTCTTAAAAGTAGAATAGGGGTGGTTGTAAAGAGACAACGTACCTCTGCTGCATAATAAGCTGTTTTAACTGCACTCTTTAGGCGCTGTGTTATTATTTCGCTGATGTAGTCATCGAGGAACTGCAGTTTTATGAACGGTGGTTTTTTCAGAACTGGTGCCATACTGACTCTCCTGGGTGCTGAATTCATATTTTTCTCAATGAATTTATCTGGATAACCATTTTTTCTAAGTAATTCTCTAATAATCTTAAGCTGCTCATTGAAACAGTCGTCTGAACAGATTAACCTAGCTTTATGAACCAGACACTTTACCAGGTTACGTTTATATTTCAAAGGTACAAAACTCAAAAAATGAGTGTACTGACCTGTTGTTGTAGGTTTCCTATACACACTCCTTCTTAGTGTGCCATCTTCTTTCCTTGTCATGAAGACGTCTAGGAATGAGATACTGTCGTTACTTTCTTTCTCTATGGTAAAGTTTATTGCTGAATGGGCATCATTAAAGTTGTCAAGCATGTTCATTGCATCATTCTCGTTTTTAATAACCAGAAATGTATCATCCATATATATCGACAGTAGAAATTCAAGTCATTAATTACTCCTTTCAGTGGTCCATTCTCTAACTTAGCGAGGAAAAACATCAGCTAGGATTGGACCTACAGATTGTACAGAATTCATGAACATATAAGCTCCACAGAAGGCCAGGGGCAATAATGATGACTGGCTGGACTTGCTTCTTCTGCACACATAGCACTTGTTTTTTTCGGGAGAATCGCGATAACTTCTGCTGTTTGAAGCACACAATACCTGGATTATTTTGGCAGTTTGGTTAACACCTGATAAATGATGGAGAAGGACTCTTCAGTATTAGCTTTGTGATCGGTTTGGACTAGGTGTGTAGGGGACTGTCTAGCGAGCTCATTAACATAACATGTATGCGAATAAAAATCCAAGTTAATGAGATATTAGTGTAACAATATATTACCAGAAATACAGTAATGAGCTATATTAACTAAACGGTTACATGGATATACACCTAAAAATTATTAATATAATACACAGAAGCGTTCACTGCTGGAATTGTGTATGTTGGTAGAAGTTGTGTACCGGTTGTAGAACTGTTTTCCGATGAGGATAATAGGTTTCTACAATAAATCCAAAGTATACAACACGGTTGTAAGTAGAGCAAATAGAGAGTATAAAGCAGTGAGAAGACGAAGCGACCAACAGCATACTGTATTTTTGATTGTACTCGGAAGTTATCTTTATTCTAAAATGAATCGTTCTAAACAAAAGTCATGTACAGTGTCTCTAATTTGAACATTTAGCAAAAACACTTACAATCATATTGTGACATACTCCACAGGTGTTCTAACAGCAAGCTATTGATACTTCTAATTACACCTTTATTTAGCCACACTGGTAGATGTTCCCTAACATATCCAGGTAGCGCATACTCAAAACAGTAAACACGATCGCGATTCGCCTGAAACCATAAGTGCTCTGTGCGCAGAAGAAACAAGCCAAGCCACTGCAACTACCCTGACCTTCAGTGAAGACGATAAGTTCATGAATTTGTATCATGATTTTTCCTAATTTTTTTTCTGATATTCAGTGTATTGTTAAGTTGATACTATCGAACTATAATCCATTGAAATTAGTATTACTGATTCGATGTTATTTAATCAACACTAATGTTGTTAATAACACTAATTCATTCAATATTATGTGTATATAATTGTAGAACTTGATGATGAAATTATCGGAAAGAATATTCTCTGTTCAGTAGCCATTCTTTTGAAAACTTTAATAGGCATTTTCAATCCCTTAATAATATAAACCGTGCTATGTTGTATTTTCAGTTTGTAACTAAGATTGTTTAAAATTCAATATTAGTTTGTTTGTTAAATGTGTCACACTGTCACAAAAACAGTATTAGTGTTTACTGGATGAAGACTTTTCGAACACAATTGACTGCGGTTCGTAATCATACCAATTATAATCACACGACTTCGAAACTTGAGTTTTATAGTTTTTTTTGTTCTCTCCTATTTGTCATCGTTGGGGTAGTAGAATTTTCCAGATATCTGGGTGGACAGGTGTTGAATCATTACTATTACACATATTCTCTCTCAGTTGATCCGATAAACAATCCTTCTGTTATCAATCTTTCCCTCCATCCATCCTGTGACATTAGATTTTAAAAATGTCATCCTATCCCATCCATTTTACTGTATGGTTGTGTGTAATTGCATGTAGTGTTTGCTATAGCTGGACTATTCTCTAGATTTCTTATCTTATTGGGATCAACTAATCTAGATTTAGCTAGGATTTTATGCTCAGCTAATCTGAGTGACTGCTCCTGTTCTACTACTTTGACCTGACAATCATTCCAGCATGGTATTAGATAAACTAAATCGTTTTGTTTCAAAGACTCCACAGGATCCTTTAACTAACAAAGCTTGTTTCTAATTGAGTTTTTGGTTGGTTTGAATGCCGGTCACTTTTATTCCTGCCTTGTTAAGAATTCTGTGTAAGGTAGGACAGATTGATGACAGAAGCTTTGTTTATCGAATCAACTGAGAGAGAATACATGTATTAGGAATGATTCAACAACTGTCCAGTCGGATACCTGGAAAATTCTACTACCCCAACGACGACGAATAGGAGAGAACAAAGAAAACTGTAAAACTCAAGTTTCGAAGTCGTATGATTATAATTGATGGAATGATTTTTTTATTTTTGATTACAGCTTGATTCCATACCATATTTTTGGTAGAAGTATGGAATTTTCAGCATGGATATCGGTAGCCCAAATTTTGCAGGCCAACCATAGATATCAGGTGTGCGTCGGCAGGGGTAAATAATAAATTGTGTTCGAAACTTTGTCATCCAGTAAATAATACTGTTTCTGTGACTGTGTGATATATCTAACAAACAAACTAATGTGGAATTATACATATAAGAATGTTTGAACTGACACAAAACTAATGCTCAGTAATACACGTTACAACTGTGTTGAAAAAAATAATTCAGAAATAAAGATGAAACTGCGTGAAAAGTTACTTCCTTCATAGGTACAATGTCTGACTTAAAAACGTTGTATATAAATACCACATTTGTTATATTTACAAGACTTCATCATATTCTACGAGCTCGCCTTGTAACCACAGGGTCCTGGATCCGAACCCCGATGGGCGAGTACTACTAAGGAGTCCCAAACTAGGACGAAGCGGCTGTCCAGTACTCCCAGGTTTTCCAATGGTTCTCCGACCGATGACAGCTCTTAATAAACTCCTTCAACCAATCAAACAAAATCCCTACAAAACCAATACCTGAATAAATATCTTTCACTGTGAATGGACTATTCTTTGATTGGATGTTAAGTGTGCGTGACAGAAGTGTGAGATAGACTAGATGTGTTGTTCTTATTATTATATAATGCTTAACCAGCTTTATTAAACTTCAAGTATTCAAGAATCAAAGCAAAATTTAAATTCAAATTTTCTCATTTTATTTTTCTAGATATCAACTTTACAAGGTCATGAAGATTCAGTACAATCAATTGTATTAGATTATGAAACAAATTTCTTGTATTCAGCGTCAAATGATCAAAAAATATGCTCCTGGGTGTAAACAAAAGTAAAAAACAAAAGTTAAATTCCATTGAACATTGAATCTGGTGTTATTTAACTATCTTTTCTTCTAATCTCTTCTAATGTCTGAGTAACTTCTCTGTTGTAATCTTTTTTTAAAAACAAGCAAGAGAAATTATGTCATAAATTCGCTCATTAAAACAAAATGCAAAACCTTTTTCAATAAATTAGTTTAAGTTGACTGACTTGCTTATTTTAATATGCATATATATATATATATATATATCACTGAAAATACCCATTGAGTCATGAAGTAAAAATGAAAGACAATTCAACGAAGAAAATTGTCTTTATCGACGAATTCATCGTCAGAGACTGGCTGTACAGTCGTATTTATGTTTATCAAAAGTGTATTATTATTATTATTATATCCTTTAATTCCTAGAGGAACATAAGGCTTCAGCTGCACGTCTCCATTGCATTCGGTTTTCTGCCAACGTTTTCATCCCGCTCCAAGTCTGTCCACATGCTTTCATTTCCTTTTCACATGACCTCAGAGATCTTTGTTGCTGATCTTTTCTGACCGACCATCTGATCTTGAGTGGAGTATTGAGCGAAGACAACTGTTAATGAAGGTCTGAAGTTTGTTTGAGATGCTTTTTATGACGCGCAGTGCAAGTCTCTGATCCGTATAGTAAGTAGCTTTGACTTCTCATTGGAGTCGAAAATCCGGATCTTATTTTTGATACTGAGTAGTGCTGGTGACCTCCACACAGACTTGTGAGTAATGAAAGCTTGTCTTGCTTTTCCGATCCACGCTGCTTTGATATCCTCGTCAGTTCCGCCTGTAGTTGAAACGATGCTTCTCAGGTAGGTAGGTAGGTAAGTAAAGGAGGTTGTTTCTTTCAGGTTCCTCCCATTTATGCTGGCTGATTGTTGTCTGTTGTTGTTGTTGCTGTTGGTGTTGGCCAGGAATCTTCATCACCTCTGTTTTATCCATGTTCACTTGAAGTCCTATCTTTAATGCTTCTTCTGCCAGATTGTTGCTTTTTACATCTTGCATATCTTCCAGTTTGTGGGAAATCAGAAATATATCATCGGCGAAGTCCAGATCTTCCAAGTTGTTTTGTGTGAGTCCATTTTATGCCTGTTTCCTCGCTGCTCGTCACTGTCTGTCGCATTATCCAGTCTACTGAAATCAGGAAGATCATTGGTGATAGTATACAGCCTTGTCTCACTCCCGTCCTCACTTCGAAGGCTTCCGTAAGTTTCCCGTTGTGGATTACTTGTCATGCCACATTGTCGTATAACTGCTGGACGAGATGTATAAGAGATGTAGCGAAGTAGTTACCAAATGACCACTCGATCTACGCTGTCTGGTGAAGGCCTTTTCAAAGTCAATGGGGTTGAGGTAGAAAGATGACTGCCATTCCAAGGTTTGCTCAATGATGATCTTTAGTGTGGCGATTTGATCAATACGTGACTTGTTTCTCCTGAATCCAGGTTGTTCCGGTCGGAGTTTTTCATCCAGGTTGGCGTGTTTGATTCTCTCCAGGATGATGCGGCTTAGTGTTTTGCTTGGGATGGACAGGAGCATAATTCCGCGCCAGTTTTTGCATTTACTTAAGTCTCCTTTCTTTGGTAGTTTATCAAAAGTGTATAGTAATCTATTATTGAGTAGTAGGCGTGACATAATTGACACAATCATTCATAAGTGGCTTTAAAAGTAAAAATAAAAGTTATAAATTACATGGTAATCAATGGCACAAAAGAAGAAAGTGTTAAAAATTTGATAAGGTTAAAATTGTTACTCAGTAAAGAAAACAGCCAGTTGACTGTCCATTTATCAAGTGTGAAAAGGGTGAAAAAACGTACAAAAGAAACATGTGAGAGTGATAATAGTGGGAACTAATTATTAAACTAAGGGCAAAGTGATCATTAAAAAAAATTAAATGTGAAAAGTTTAGAGGAAACAACATATGAAAAGGTTAAGACCATGGTAGGATAAGAAAGTGGACAACCTTTTTTTCTATACAGAGATTTTGGGGTTGTATTGATGAATTGCCAACGTCTCAACCATAAAAAATACCGAAAACTGACGCGGTTTGTACCATATAGACATATACACATTGGATCACCTGTTATAGGGAAACAACTTGTGGTGAAAGCCATCTGATAGCCAAAATTGTAAACAACAATCAACATCCATGATCACGTCCCGAAATGGGGTCATCAGAAACAACAAGAAAAAAGCTTAACCGCGACGAACTCAACAACCAGTCACGGCAGACTTAACGTGTGCAAATACAACTTGCAGATATATTGCCTGACTTTCTAAGAAACGGCCACAAAGAGATGACAGAATAACCTTCAGAAAGAAAACAACCAATCAGAAGACGTTGCTTCTCCGCTGACAATAATGTATATCAAAAATCTATAAATATCTGTTAATTTTCTCAATAAACGATCTGTTGCCTGGCCTTTGTCTGCTGTCGTTAATATATAAGTATAAAACTTGTGCACTGTGATAGAGTATAACTCGACTGTTAGTTAGTTAAGCAATCGCCTTGCACTCCAATTCAGTCCGGAAATGTAGCTCGTAACGAACTTAACACGACAGCGTGCCAAGTAGCGTGGATACTTGGCTGTAAGCCTTCAGTTAGACAACTCGACATAAACAGTGAGGGTCGTCATTCAGTGTTCAGTGATGAATGCTGTCAACCAACTCATTAACTGTCAATCTCCAGCTCTTACTATGCTGGAACTCACGTTGTCCCTCGAAGACTTTCAGAAACAATGTGTAATAGCCAACGCAAAAACCAGAACACAGATTGGCGACTCGAGAATCCTTTATTGATACGCCAACACGTAACCAACAATAAAGTTATTACACACAAGGTATAAGAATAAATGTTATAACAATAAATCACGATAATACTTCTGAAAGTTTTCTGTCTTCCACTGAACAGCGAACGATGAGACGATGACTGATGGATTGATGACTCCCGCGAAAAATATGGAGGAGTTGGGTTTGAGCAAACAACCATGAATTGATCGTTCAATCTTCAACTACATTGACACAAGTGTTCATAGATAGAAATCCAAACTTTCGTTCACATATAATGGAATGCTGCGAGAAAGCAAAACAATAAATTATGTTTTTCTTGTGGAAAGATTCATCTACGAAGCACTTGCCGTTTTCGGAGTGCTAATTGGCACATATGTTGTAAAGTTGGACACATCATGTCTGTTTGCAGAAGTTCAAATAATTGTGTTACTCAGAATCCTCATGTTTCTTCCAATTTATCTGTTAAAATTCAGTCAATGTCTCCTTCAACTTTTCCCAATACTCAATCTTGTCTAATGAGAACCTTCACTACAAGTTCAGACAAGTCTCACTGTTTTATAATTGATACTGGGAGTACTGAATCTATAATTTCTAAGAAAGATTTACAATCGATTTGTAAGAATGTCCAGATAGACCCTACTTCTAGTTCAATTACAGGCATAACTGGTCACCTCTTATCGGTGCTAATAACAGTTTTTTAAAATCAGACAGTGGTAATTTTGTAAATATCCCCTTTCTTGTTAGTGAATATGGTCCATCTTTATTGGGATTAAAAGCCCTTTGATTGTTAAATGTCGAAATCTCACTTTGTACTGAGTTGTTTGATGAATCTTTGTTCAGAGAATTACTTCTCCAATGCTCAAAGAGTGTAGGTGGCATGAAGATTCAGCCCGTCCATCTTGAAATAGAGAGTGTTCTTATCTTCCTGAAGCAACAAATAATTGCATATGGATTGCGAGATGTAGTTAAGAAAGAGTTAGACAAGTTGGTTGAGCAAGGCATACTTATGCCAGTTGAGTCTTGGTATTGGGCTACTCCTATTGTGACGCCACTAAAGGCTGATGGCAAAACACTTAGAATTTGTGGTGACTACCGCCTTACATTCAATAATCGTCTACCACAGCAAAGTTGCATTACTCCAGAAACTAAAGATATTTTCTGCAAGCTACATGGCTCAAGATACTTTTCCAAAATAGATCTAAAAGATGCTTATTTTCAAATTCCTCTTGACGAGGCGTTTGTGCATTAACAACCATTAATACTCCATTTGGATTGGTCAAGTATAAGTTCTTGCCTTTTGGTTTATAGGTTTTACCTGCAATATTTGAAAATATAATAAATCAGATGATAGATGGATTAGATGGTGTTAAGTCATACCAAGACGACATTATAGTTCATTGTCCTAATATCAAATTACATAATGACCGTCTTTTAAAACTGTCCAGGCGTTTATGTGGGAATAATGTTCTTGTTAATCCATCTAAACGCCATTTCACTTTGTCATCTGTATCGTGCTTGGGATACACAGTAGACTCCGAAGGTTTCAGACCTGATGCTAGTCGTTTGGCACCTCTAATTCAAGCACCGTCACCTGATAATATGTCATCGTTGAGATCATGGATAGGTACTCTTCAGTTTTACTCCAGATTTATTCCCAACTTCACTCAACGGTTATCTCCGCTTTTTGATATTGTCTCCAGTAAACAGTTTAAGTGGGAACAACAACATGAGAATATCTTGCGGAAAACTTTGGAGTTTCTTAATAAACAAGCTTTCCTTAGACCTATTTCATCGAAAGATAAGTCTGTTCTCACTACAGAGGCGTCTCCTATGGACATAGCTGCAGCACTTGAGCAAAATGGACAACCTGTTATTTGTATTTCCAGACGTTTAAGTAAGAGTGAACAAGGGTACTCACAAACCCAGAAAGAAGCTCTAACAGTTGTATGGGCAATAAGACGCTTGCACAAGTATCTCTTTGGTACTAAGTTTCACATAGTTACTGATCATCAAGCTTTGAAATTCATTTACAATCCAGAAAAATCTTTGAATAAATCATCTGCTGCTATGGTTCAAAGATAGAGTTTAGAACTAAGTGCATATGATTACACTATTGAACATAGATCGGCAAAGGATATACCTCATGCAGACTTCTTATCTCGTTATTCATTATTTGAAAATATTGCTAATGA